GGCGGCGCACGGCCGGCCAGGCCGAGGCCCAGGGAGGCCTTGCCGCCTCAACGGTGGTAGCGATGAAACGATCAGGAAAGGATGAAGTTTCGTGTGTTTAAAGGAGAGGGAAAAAGAAAAGGATGGGATGGAAACTTTGTCCTTACCCTAGCCCAAAGTTATAAACAGGGCCGTTTCATAACAGGCTGGGGCCGTGTTGTTTCCAGGCCAAAGTCACCCCGCTCCCCCTGCAAGCCTGTATTTGGCTACCAAAATGCCCCAGTGGATCGGGAGAGTCCAGGCCGCCTCCTTGCCCACCTCGCCAGCCCACCTGCCCTTCCATTGCCTCTCCCATCTCCACACCGCTCAGCAGCGAAGACCTGCCGCTGCTCGGACTTTCCTTTTCTTTTTTTATGGCAGCCGTTCCCTGACCTCTGAAGTGCTGACTCAGGCCTAAGGCAGTGCCTATGGAAAATCTGTCTGGAGACTGCAGCCCAAAATCACAGCTGCTTTCCCGCTCCCACTCGCCTCCGCTGCTTTGCCAGGGCTGCTGGTGGCCCAGGGCCCGCGTAGAGCAAAGCACCATCCGCTCTTCAGGAGCTGGGGTGGGGTGGGGAGCCAAGCCCCAAGGAAGACGAAGAGGAGGAGGAGGAAGATGGCTGAAGGCTGCCACCGGCCCGACGGGGGAAAAAGCTCTGCTTAGGTGCTGCAGGGGCGCAGCATCCGCCCTGCCTGCTTTGCTAGCGCTTAGTGCTTGCCCTCTGCTCGCCTGCCCTTTTCGGCACTGGGTGGTTGCCTTGCCGCCCCTCGTCCCCAGCAGCCTCACAAGAAGCCCTTAAAGCCCTTCCGTCAGGTTGACACCATTTTTTCTATTCTTTCTGTTGGGCCCTTTCTCTTCCTGGTTGCGCTTGGCTTGCCCAGGGTGGAGCAGTGCTGGTGCTCTTCGAATCTCCCAAGAGAAAGGAAAAAAGGAATTTTACAAAATCAGATGTAGGGCTGAAGCCTGCTTTCAAGTGCTGCTTGTTTGACCCCCTAGCTTGCTTTAACCCAGGCCTAGCTTTTCAGCCCTGGTGGGGATCAGCCCAAAAACTAGCATGAGGTTACCACCTCTGTGCTCTGACCCTGCCAGCGTGGCACGGGCCAAATCGGTGTCAGAAAGGAAAAGCTGGGGGTCCCCTTTCCCACAGCGGTGCTCCCCTTCAGGCTCGTCCTGCCGCGCGGCCGCGGCTCCTCCCGGCTCGCGGAGCATTTTCACCCGGTGCGGTGATGCTCCGGCGCTCCTTGCCCCTCGCTGCGCTTCGCCGCCGATTTTCCTGCAGGAAGAACCGAACGGCGCGGGTTCCTGTGGCCCTTTTGGCAGGCAGCCTGGCTGCTGAAACTGCCCTCGGCCGGCGCGCGCCGTCCTAGCCGGAGCAGTGGCTTTTGGAACGCTGCCTCTGCCAAGAGCGGCGCCAGCTCCTCTCGTGGGCCAGCAAACGCGGCCGGCAACGGCACGTTTCCCGCGGGGGCTGCCGTCTTTTGCCCCTGACGGCAAGCTGCCAGCTCCCGGGAAGCCGCGAGGGCTGGATGCGGTGGCCGGATACAACCCCCAGGCCTGCGTCCAAGCGCAGGGGCCACAGCCGGACCCTGCGGCCCCCAGGGCTTCAGCCCAGCCCCACTGACCCCCCATCCCCGTCCCCCTTCCCTGTCCTTTCTCTCCCACGCAGGCAGGACAAGCTGAAGGTTCACATGAGGAAACACACAGGGGAGAAGCCGTACTTGTGCCAGCAGTGCGGCGCCGCTTTTGCTCACAACTACGACTTGAAGAACCACATGCGCGTCCACACCGGCCTGCGGCCCTACCAGTGCGACAGCTGCTCCAAGACTTTCGTCCGCTCCGACCACTTGCACAGGCACCTTAAAAAAGATGGTTGCAACGGCATCCCCTCGAGGAGGGGCCGCAAGCCGCGGGTGCGGGAGGCCGGCAGCCTGCCCACCCTCACGGGCAACCCCGAAGACGGGAGCTACGCGGCTGGCGGCGAGAGCCAGGAGTCGGAGGATGCCGCGGAGAGGAACGGCCCAGAGCAGCACTTTGAGGAGAGCTCGAATAACGAAGCGCCGAGGTTGAATGTAGCAGGAGGGTCGACGGAGGGTAACACGCAAGGACTCTCCTAAACCAAAAACAAACACACACAAAAAAAAAAAAAAAAAAGTGTCACAAAATCTAGTTAGTACTTTTCCTCCGATTTTCTCTTTAAAGATGTTTCTCTCCCTTTTTTTAAGAAAGACAGATATATATATATATATTATGTTTCCAATCTTACCATCGTAACTAGGGCTCCCCCGAGGACCCCTCCGTAGCCAAGGACCTTTTCTTGTGAAAGGCAGTCGCTAGGAAGCACGGGCTGGGGATGGAAAGTGGCTCTGTCGCATGGAAAAGGAGCTTCCATGTAAATCCAAAGCTTTATTTTGTGTCTAGGCACACGTTAAAGAAAGAAAAAAAAAATTATTTCAGAGAGATATCTATTTAAAAAAAAAAAAAAAAGTTTAAAAAAATGGTAAGAGTTGAAGGGCTCTTGGAGGACGGTACACGCGGTGCCTCAGAGGACTGGCCCGGCAAGCACCGGGAGCAGCGTTTTCCGCTCTGTCCTTGCAGAGTTTCAGCCCCAGCCACGTGAGATGTTCGGTGGTCAGGGCATCCCGGAGGTTTGCGAGGAGTCTTCCCCGGGTGCTGAACACGTGGGTTTTGTATGGACCCCCTCAGGCCGGCGCCGGGCGCCAAAACGGGCTCGCGGTGGCGAGAGGGGAGCTGGAGACTTGGCGTGGGGAAGAGTCCCTTAATCATGTGAGCGGACGCGGAGGGTTTCGCGGGGCTGCCCGCAGCGGCAGGCGGGAAACGGCCGCGGCCCGCGCTGGTGGGCGCCCCGCTCTGCGGCCCGCCGCTGCCCCTGGATCAGCGCGTGCCCTCCCGCGGGAATTGCGCCGCTCCCCGGAGCCGCAGCGAGGCTGCGCCCGCGGAGCGACGGCCGCCTCTGGCGCCGTGACCTGCTCTCTCCTTGGCAGGCACGTGAAGCAGTGCAAGGTTTTCTGGGTCGAGACCTTCGAAAGGGTCTTTTCTGTACAGGGATCTCTAATGCCCCCTTCCCCCCCTCAAAAAAAAAAAAAAAAAGGATTTTTGTCTAGTCTTTTATCTAAACTTTGCTTTTTCCACTGGCTGGGTGCTGCCTGCATGTCCCTCTCCAACCTTGCTCTGCTCCGGCCTGGCCGGAGGGAGCGTGTTGCCAGGTTGTCACCTCTCCCTGCACGGCAGCGTTGAGATCAGGTCCCCGGCCCTCGGCAACCGCGGGGATCGGCGCTCGGGCGCTGCTTGATCCACGCACGTCCCAGGCTGGGCGCTTCAGCCCTGCTCGTGGGGCCGGTCCCGCAGCGGGCGCAGCGCGTGCGGGCTCCTGGAGGAAAAGAGAAATCTCGGGATGGGGATAGCCTCTCCCTTCCCAAACTTGTCGGCACTTGATCAAGATCCAGGTTCCCACATGCCCGGAGGAAAAAAAAAAAAAAAAAAAGCACCTAAAAATGGCAGATTTCTGTTTAAAAAAGGTTATTTGAGGTCTCCCTTAAATGGGAAAGAGGCCTTAGGCAGGGGAACAGCGAGCGCTGGCTTTGCTAGGCCAGGGAGAGGTGCCGGGGCTGCGGCCGCCTCGTCCCCTTCCTCCAGCGCCGTGAGGAGCAGCAGCGCCCGGCACCCCGTCCCATCCCGGAAGGAATTCTTTCCCACCAAAATCTGTGGGAGCCACCAGACGGAGCTGGGGTGGCGGCCAGTGGCCGCCCCGGAAACCCCTGCTGTTCACAGCCACCGCGGGGGCGGCTGAGCTCTGGCACAGCTCAGCGCATGTCACACGCCCAGGCAGCTCCCCCTGGTCGCTCCCAGCCCCAGCTCCCTATATATGTATCTATAGAGAGAGTCACTATATGGCTATAAAGAAGAATATATGCGTGTATGGGAGTGCGCCCCGCTCCAGGTTGGCAGAGGATGGTAGAAAAAAGGCACCTTTCAGCCAGTCACCTGTTTTCTAAATGCACAGTTTGAAATGAAAAGAGATTTTTTTAAAAAGTCCTTTTATTTTGAAAGCACTTTTTAGGTTTTTTTTTTTTTTTTTCCCCCCTTTTGGTGTTCGTTTTTCCTTTCAAAGCAAGAGCAGGCTTGGCCGAATGTATTTTGGAGGAGGAGTGAGAGGGGAGTGTGTGATGGGGCAGGGTGGGGAGGGCTGAGTGGTGGGGGCCGGGGAGAGACGGATGTTTATTTAATGCAGAAAAAAAAAGCAATAAAAATAAAAAACCATTATAAAAAAAAATAATAAAAAAAGAAGTCTTAGCACTTTGCGATGGAACGGGTACTTTGAGATCACTTTATCTTAATTTAAAAAGCAAAAGCAGAACATGTTTACAAGTCAAAACCAACTTCTACAGAAAAAAAAAATATTATTAAAAAAAGAATCCTAAATTTATTTTTTTAATAAAAAATGTGTATATATATATATATATATATATATTTAAAGAAAAAAAAATACCGTAGGCAGAATCCAAGATATATTTCATGGAGTAATAAAAGCCGGAAGGTGTCCAATGTGAGGAACAATGCTAATTAGGTTCTGTGACATGCCCTGAAAATAGACCCTCAGAAGTCATTGCACTTCACAAAAGCTTGAATTTTAGGCAGGAATCATGGTGGGGTTTTTGGTGGTGGTGGGGGGGCGGTTATTGCTCATTTTCCTCTCCCCCCGCGTTTTGTTTTGTCTCCTAAATGTCTTACTCGTACAGCCAGTGCTAGTCCAGACGTGTCTCCCAGCTCCCTCGGGGGTGCCCGGCCGGTCCCGGGAGCGAAGCGCCCGCCGGCCCGGGGGCTGCGGGTGCCTCCGCAGCTCCTGGGCTCCCTTAGCTGCTGCTGCTGCTGCTGCCGGGGGCTGCTGCGTGCGGGTGCCTCTCGGGGGCTGCGTGGGGCTGGGCTGGCACGGCTGCTCCCTGGCCTTGGCAGCGCAGAGGTGCCCTGGCCCGGCCTTGTGGCAGCCTGTGCGCAGCGAGAGCCCTCGCGCAGCAGCCGGAGTTGCCCCGTCGCAGGTCCCCAGCTCCCTCCTGCAGCCCCCGTCCCCCGGCAGCAGCCGCCCGGGGCCACCCTGCACGCAGCTCCGTTGCCAAGCCAGGCTTTGCGGGAGGCCGCGCTTAGCAGCGCCCCTACTTGGGCAGCAGCAGCAGCGAGCGCCCGTCCTCCCCAGCTGCAGGGCCACGGTATCGGGGTGGTGGGAGAGGAGAGGGGGACCCCGGGTCCCGGACACCGGGGCTTTGCACCCACCACCCCTTCCAGGGCTGAACCTCTTGCTTAGCACTGGCTGCCTCTCGCATATGCAAAAACTAGCGTGGACTTGTACATAGGCAGTTACTTGAGGTTCTTCATTTGTAATCAAACGTTGTGGTATCTCTTTTTTTTAAAAAAAAAAAAAGTGTTACTTCTCCTCTTTCTC